GAATTCTTTCATGAATGGGTGTGGGATTTTCTCAAGTGTTTTTTGTGTATCTACTGATAGGATCTTGTCTCTTTTTTTCTTTAAACTTCTCTAATCTTAATAAAGCATTTTATATTATTCTATCTTTTTCTCCTTTGTTAAAAGATCAATTATATTTTTTAAAACAAATTTTAGTGGGTACTCTAAAGTTTGCAGCATGAATTTACAACTAATATAAGTCTACTTTCAAATAACACAGTGTCATTTCCTGGGTAGTGCAGGTGCTTTTCTAACAGAGTATTCCCAATCCCTCCCTTCCAACTCTTATAACATTGCTGTCATTTATGTCATCTATTCATAAGCTATGGTTACCCAATGTGTTGGTGCTATTATCATTTTCACAATCATTTCTCTGTTAGATTAATTAAGACTAAGAAAAACAAAGGAGTTTATTTAACTTTCACTTATTCCTCCTCTAATGACTTCCCTTTTTATGTAAATCTTAGTTTCTTACCTATACCTTCCTTCTGAAGAACTCCTTTCTTGCATGGCAGGTCTACCGGCAACAAATTCTCTCAGCTTTTGTTTGTCCAAAGAAGTTTTTTTTTTTTTTTTGAGACGGAGTTTCGCTCTTGTTATCCAGGCTGGAGTGCAATGGCGCGATCTCCACTCACTACAATCTCTGCTTCCTGAATTCAGGCAATTCTCCTGCCTCAGCCTCCCGAGTAGCTGGGATTACAGGCACGCGCCACCATGCCCAGCTAATTTTGTGTATTTTTAGTAGAGACGGGGTTTCACCATCTTGACCAGGATGGTCTCGATCTCTTGACCTCGTGATCCACCCGCCTAGGCCTCCCAAAGTGCTGGGATTACAGGCTTGAGCCACCGCGCCCGGCCCCAGAGAAGTTTTTACCAAACTCTCCATTACTTTTGAGGGATAATTTCACCAGACACAAAATTCTAGGTTGGTGAATTGTTGCTGCTGCTGTTGTTTTTCCAGCACTTTAAATGTTACTCTACTCTCTTCTTGCTTGCATGGTTTCTGAATAAAAATCTAATATATTTCTTATTCTCATTCTTTTATAGATAAGATCATATAAGTAAGACAGGTATTTTTCCTCTGGCTTCTTTCAAGATTTTTTTTATTGTTAGGCTTTCTGCCATATGAATATGGTATGGCTAGGTGTAGACATTTTATCTCTTGTTACTGTTTAGTGAGGTTCTTAGATCTATAGTTTGGTGTCATTCATTTTGGAAAATTCTTAGCCATTATTATTTTAAATATATCTTCTGTTTTTTTTTCTTTTTCTCTCTCTTCTAGTATTTTTATTATGCATACGTCACGCTTTTTATAATTGTTCCACAATTCTTGCGTATTCTGTTCCTCTTTGTTGTTGTTGTTCTATTTTCTCTTGACATTTCTGTTTGGGAAATGTCTGCTAACATATCTTTAGGACCACCGATTCTTTCCTCTACCACACCCAGTCTACTTATGAATCCATCAAAGGCATTTTTCATTTCTCTTACAGTGGCTTTGGTGTTTTCAGTATTTCCTTTTGATTCTTTCTTAGAGTTTCCATCTCTCTGCTTACATTGCCTGCCCATCTGTTCTTGCCAGATGTCTGCTCTTTTCATTAGAGCCCTGGGCATATTAATCATAGCTACTTTAAATTCCCAGTCTGATAATTCCAACATCCTCCCTTATATCTTAGTGTGGTTGCTTGTTTTGTCTGTGTTTGCTGTAGCTGTAGGTGTCTAAAGCTTTAATTTTCTCTAGTACCAATTCGTCTCCCCTTGTTGTCTCAGGATTTCCCTGACAGATTCTGAGCTGTGCTCTAAACCCCTGTTTTTATACAGGAGATTAACTGGTGTGACAGTGAAGTGTGGGCGGGAGACAAAACGTTCTCTATTGCTATGATTAAGTCTCAGTCTTTTAGTTGGCCTATTCCCTGGGGCTGTGAACTTCACAAGTGCCTCTCAGTGCTTTCTACCTCTTTTTTTTTTTAAGAGAGAAAAAAAGAAAAAGAAAGAAAGAAAGAAAAGAATGAAAGGAAGAAAGACAAAAAGAATAAAAAAAGAAAAATAAAAGAATGAAAGAGAGGAAGAAAGAGGAAGAGGAAGAGGAAGAGAGAACAGGAGTGTTGCTTTATTGCCCAGGCTAGAATGCAGTCTAAAAATGGGTATTGAAAACCTCTTTTATGCCAATAATTGTGCTTAACAATGGAGACAGGAAGGAATAAGGGAGGAAAATAACGAACAAGCAGCCAACCAATATTTCATTTAAACCTGTGAAATGCTATGCAATTACTGAGCAGTGATTTACTTCCAATTATGTGGTCACTTTTAGAGTAGAAAGTAGTGCTTTCTACTTCTTAGGTGAGGCAGAAAGACTAGAGGGAATGGGAGGGGACTGAGGTTGGGAACATCACTTCCCCAGTATTGTGTAGACTGAAGTATAGTTTTCTGGGAGGTCAAGTGAGAACAAAAAGCTCTGAGTGTATTTTCCTCCAGGGCAGCAACAATCAAAGATACAGGTGATCAAATCATGGGGTGGAGATGGAAAAGCAGAAGAAACCCAAATGTCGCCAGAGCTGAAATTACCATGAGTTAGCTGCGTTTCCTCCTTTTTTCTCCTCTGTCCTCTTCTGTCCTATTCATTCTCTAACCCATCCCTCTTCTGTGTTTGATTTCTCTTCTTGTTGCCTAATGATATCCTCTGCTCCCTCCTCTTTAAATCATTTCCACTGGAAGGTACGTCCCCAAATCCCCTTTTATTAAATTTCAAAACAAAAAAGAGTCCCTAGATATATAAAGATAGAGAGATATGCTTGTATATGCCTATTAGATTTCTTGTAATAGTTGCATCCAGGAGGAAGAATGTAAGCATAGGTGAACTGATGTGAAAAGAAGTCTTGTTTCTACTGTATACATGTTTGTACTGTTTAATTTTTTACCATTACATGTATTCTCAAGAAAAATATATCCCTTCTTAAGTGGAAGCTGCTAATCACCCACCCATAATCCAATTACTGCCATCTGCAGAAGGAAACAAGTGCTACAGCAAACATCTTGTTTCATAGTGAAAGCCTTAATGCCTTTATCATAAGGTCAGAAACAAGACAGGGATATCCGTTCTTATCTCTATACAGCATTGCATTGGAAGTCTTAGATAGGACAATGAAAAAAATAAAATAAATAAAAGGTGTAAAGATCATTAAGGAAGAATCAAACATGTCTTTATTTGCAGATTCCAGAATATATACAGAAAAAATGAAGTATAAATTCTTACTTTCTCTTTTGTCTAGTTTAGGAACAATTAGAATTCGTAAATGATAGGGACATAGATGAACCTAGAAACCATCATTCTCAGCAAACTGACACAAGAACAAAATATCAAACACCGCATGTTCTCACTCATAGACAGGTGTTGAACAATGAGAATACATGGACACAGGGAGGGGAGCATTACAGACTGGGGTCTGTGGGGGGGAAATAGGGGAGGGACAGTGGGAAGTGGGGAGCTGGGGAGGGATAACATGGGGAGAAATGCCAGATATAGGTGATGGGAAGGAAGGCAGCAAACCACATTGCCATATCTGTACCTATGCAACAATCTTGCATGTTCTTCACCTGTACCCCAAAACCTAAAATGCGATAAAATATATATTTTTAAAAAATACAAAGAAAATAAATAAATAAGAATTCATAAATGAAATAACAAAGTTGCTAGATACAAATTCAATGTACAAAAAACAACTGTGTTCATACTACTAATAAACAATTAAAAATTAAATTTTAAAAAGTTATTGAAAATAAAGTAAAAGGTAGAAAAGGATGAAATTTCACTTCAAAACAAGACTAGCCTGTCTGTTTTTCTCATTATTATTCACTATTGTAATGTAGAATACAGCACTGTGGCTCCAAGTCAACTTCTCTCCAATTAGTCCCACTAAATTATTGTCACCTGATCTTCAAATACACACACACAAATACAGCCTATAAAATTTAGGGAGGAGAAAAAGTCTTTTCCATAAATGATGCTGATGCAATATAATATCTTTATTAAAGAAACAAAGCTACTTCATACATACATAACTGATTTAAAATTGATCTAAAAACTAAATATTAAAGGAAAAATCATGAAACTCTCAAAGTAAACCTGAGAATGACTTTGTGACTACGTAGCAGGAAAAAATTAAACAGAACAAAGCATGAACAGTAATAGAGGTGGATAAGTGAACTTTCTTAAAATTTAAATATCATTCTCAAAGGACATAGTGAGTGGTCATGTGAATGGGCAAGCCAGAAACTGAGTAAAGATAACTGCAATGTGTGTGTCTGAAAAAGCACTCATATCCAGAATATACTTTCTAAAAAACTAAAATCAGTAAGAAAGAGACTAAAAACACTATTTTTAAGTGGCCAAACGACTTGAACAGGTACCTCACGAATGGTGATGTCCAAATAGCTAATGAACATGTAAAAAGTGCCCAACAAGGCTGGGTGTGGTGACTCACACCTGTAATTCCAACACTTTGGGATGCCAAGATGAGAGGATCACTTGAGCCCAGCAATTTGAGAACAGCCTGGGCAACATAGTGAGACCTCATCTCTACAAAAAATAGAAATATTGGCCAGGTGTGGTGGCATTTACTTATGGTTCTAGCTGCTCAAGAGACTGAGACAGGAAGATAGCTTGAGCCCAGACTGAGACAGGAAGATAGCTTGAGCTCCAGTGAGCCATTAGCACACCATTATACTCCAGGCTGACAACAGAGCAAGACCTTGTTTCTTTAAAAAAAAAAAAAAAGTCATGAGTTTGAGACCAGCATGGCCAATATGGTGAAGCCCCATCTCTACTAAAAATACAAAAATTAGCAGGGCATGGTGGCATGCGCCTGTAATCCCAGCTACTCCTGAGACTAAGGAAGAAGAATTGCTTGAACTCGGGAGGTGGAGGTTGCAGTGAGCAGAGATCACACCACTGCACGCCAGCCTGGGCGACAAAGCAAGAATCTGTCTCAAAAAAAAATCATTATTTATTAGGGAAATATTTAAAAGACTAAAGCAACATTGTACTACACACCCAACAGAGTAATTAAAATGAGAAATGCTGAAAATAACAAGTGTTCATAAAGATGAAGAGTATCCTTTTCTGGAAATTGTTGATGGGAGTGCAAATCAGGTTAAATATTTTGGGAGACAATTTGATAGCTTTTAGAAGCCTAAACATATGCCTATCTTGTGACCCATAAAATGTACATCTAGGTATATGCCCAAACAAAGTAAGTGTATATTTGCAGCAAAATACATGTTCAAGAATGTTTATAGCAGCTTTATTAATAATATACAGAAATTGAAAACAAGGCAAATGTCCATAAAGAAGATAATTGATAAGTAAATTGCTCTACCTTCATACAACGGAATACTAAAACCGCAGTAACCAAGAACAGTGTTGTGGATGAATCTCACATGACTCTCTATGTTAGGTGAAACATAAAAAAGTAAATGCAGTATTTAACATTTATATGAAGCTGAAGCATGAGAAAAATGAAACTGTGATGATAAAGTAAGAATAGTGGATATCACCAGGAAGAGCGTAGGGAGTAGTAATTACTGGGAAAGAGCAGCAGGAATACTCTGAAATGATAAAAATCTTCTGTATTTTCATTTGGGTGGAGGTATGTAATCATAGCCTTATAGATGTGAAAAAAAATCATTGAGCAGTTAATGTTTGTGCACTTCACTTCAAAAATTATGATTCAATTTAAGAAGGGGTAGGGTGTTTTCATTGTACTGATTCTCCACCACTCCTACTGCACCCTCAAAACATGTGTCTCGAATTTAATAATCATTCCTCTCCTTTAGCATCAAAACACAGTCCTCCCCTACACTTTCATTTCCTTAACCATATCCTGATTAAACTGAAACATTTCAAAGGAAAAAGCTAAACATTAATCCAAACTTTCTCTTTTTCTAATAGAAGATAACTTTCCTAAGTTTGTAAATTAAACTATCTCCCAGACAGTTCATATGCCATGACTTCTGAAAGAATTGTTACCATTAGTAATGTGTTCAGACCAAAAACATTATTCTTCTGATACTTTATATAAAGTTGTACTTACACTTACCCAATGCTGTGAATATATGACCTCTCCTGAGACCACCATCTCTTTCCTTTATGCCCTACTGTTATTAACAGAAGGTCACAGATATATGCAGTGTCTTAAAGTACAATAGCAATTGCTTCTCCTGACAACTAGTTGGTTGCTGTGGTTCTAATAGCACTTGCCCAGAGCTGTCTATTATTAATGTAGATTATTCAGACCCTTGAGGTGAGGCTCCAAATTCTACCTCCCTTAATTTTCAAATAAAGAATGAAGCCTGTATCTAGCATACTTAACTCCTTCAAACCTGTTTATCTATGCCTTAGAAGGCCTTATATTATTAGCCTTGACCCTTAAGGCTCTATACCATCTCCATGGTCACCATCCTTGATTATATAAGAAATCTAAACTACTTCTCACTCACACACCCCAAAACTCTTTAAAAATTTCTCTTAACTTTTCATCAAGACCACATCACCCATATTTTTCACTTCCAACACTCTTGCAAAAATGTTATTCCAAAAATTAACCCTTGGAAAGTTACATGACATCTGAAAAAAAGAAAAACACTTTAAAATGAAATCAGTTGGGGAAAAGATGGAACAAGAAAATGTAGCTGAAGGAAAACATAGCAGAGTAGATTAAAATTCAAGAGCCCGGACTCCAGTTTCAGCTCTGGCACCAGGTACATGTGTGTACATTGGCAGCTTACACAATATTTATGAGTGTGATGTATCGTATGAGGAGACTGAAGTAAAATGGTTCCATAAGCCTATTCAAGATTAAACGATGTATAATTGTAGAAACTATTCTCATGAAATAACAATTGGAATCGTTGGGTTGAATAAGCAGTGCAGGGAATAAGAGCACTTAAGAATAAAAGTTAAAATTTTTCTCAAGTATAGCAGAGAAAGCACTGGCAATGGTTCCCTCACTGAAAAGAAAAGAAAAGAAAAGAAAAGAAAAGAAAAGAAAAGAAAAGAAAAGAAAAGAAAAGAAAAGAAACACCCTGATTAACAAAGGTTTGGATTCCCTTTCTCAATCATTTAAGAATTTTCTGCAAAAGGTTCTCCTCAGGGCAGCTTTGACATCTTTATTCCTCAGGCTGTAGATTAATGGGTTAAACATGGGCACCACTGCAGTATAAAAAATGGAGGACACTTTCCCCTGGTCCAGGGGTAGAATAGAAGGTGGTTTGAGGTACATAAAAGCTCCTGACCCAAAGAAAAGCAATACCACAACTATGTGGGAGCTGCAGGTACTGAAGGCTTTAGACCTGCCCTCAGCAGAACTAATGTGGAGAATGCTGGGAAGAATAAAACCATAAGAGATAAAAATGGTGACAATGGGCACCCCAATGCCAATGGTCACAATAATAAAAACCAACAGCAAATTTATGTAAGAGCTGTTGCAGGAGAGCTCAAGGAGGGGAAGGATGTCACACATGTAGTGATTGACAAGGTTTTCTGCACAAAAGGTCATAAACATTATGTTTCCCATATGAGCCACAGCCCCCAAAGCCCCCATCCCATAGACACCCAACAAAAGGAGCAAGCACACCTGGGGAGACATGGTGACCATGTACAACAGTGGGTTACAGATGGCCACGTAGCGGTCATACGCCATTGCTGATAGAATATAGGAATCCGAAAAGACAAAGAAACAGAAGAAAAAAAACTGAGTCATACACCCTGCATAGGAGATCATGTTCTTCTTTGTGACAAAACTCATCAGCATTTTAGGGGTAATGGTAGTGGAATAACTAAAATCTATAAAGGACAAGTTGAAGAGGAAAAAGTACATAGGAATATGCAGGTGAGAGTTGAGCCCTATCAGGGTTATCAAGCCCAGGTTCCCCACCACAGTGACCACATAGAAACCTAGAAACAGGAAGAAGAGGGGGATCTGGAGTCCTGGCTGGTCCGTTAAGCCTGCGAGGATAAACTCTGTCACAGACGAGGAGTTCTTGGCAGGCATTCTCCTCTAGGACTGTCTGTGAGAGAAAAAGAAAAAGTCGCTCAGAAAGAGAGAAAGGCTACACACTGGGGAGTTAGTGGAAATTAAGGGAATGGGAGGGAGAAGAAAAGAAACATTTACTGAGCACTAACTATGGGATAGGCACTGTTTAAATGCCGTGTGGCATTACATGCATCCCCGTTCCACAGATGAGGACGCCTAGCCTGGGCCACCTGCACAGTCCCAGTGCTACAGAGTTGCAGCTCTAGGTTCTGGCTCCCCTCTAGTCTGAGCTTTTCCTGACAGTGGGGGAAGGTAGTGATAAATACTTTATTTTCCACTCTATATTCTCAATGTCTACCTGATTTTTAGGGGTTTTTCTTTCCTTTTTTTAACAGAAATTAACGATTTAAAACTTTTACTTAAATGATATTTAATTACAAAAGAAAAAATCCACAGTGGACACAGAAAATATTGTCAACATGACTCATCATTAAATAAATGCAAATTAACGGTAGGAACAATAATATACGTTAGTGTGAGCTTCATAGGAATATCCAAATTTCTCCCCTTATCTTCTGACAGTTGACACTGAGCCTTCAATGACAAGCCAGGACTCTGACAGATGAGAGTGGTCTGAGCTTTCTTTTAACCACTCTACTGTAGCACCCGGTGGCTCAGACAAGCACTCACCCACTTCGGCTTGGAGCCACAGTGCTGCTCTCTACTGCCTATCACCCATCTCTTTTGTGGAAATCCAATGACCCTGCTGCAAAGAACGTGACAGCTTGGAGCCCAGACCCCTCTGCTTCTGCTACTCCACTTTGAAAATCTTGGTTCTCTTTGGGAATCTTGGTTCTCTTGCAGAGCTAGAGAAAACAATCTCTGATTATGACTTTGCCCAAAGGCTTCTGACCAGCTTCCAGGAATGAGACAGCAATCTTTCCTAACACCTTGGATAACAGGTATCTGGAGAGTTTTATTCTGGAGTAGAGACCTCAGTGAGCTAGTTACAGAGGCTCCCTCAGAGCCATCACCAGAGGCCACCTTCCCTAAGGAAAAGGAAATGTTTGTTTACACTCTTGATCATGCCTTTAATAACCTGTTCTTTCATTCAGGTTACAACTTTTTAAGCACAATTAAGGACAAGGCACTATGGGAAAAAACAATTTTTGCTACCTTGTATTAAGAACTTACTGTGTACCGAACACTGTATCCAACCCTGTACCTTCATACAGACACCAAGAATCAAACACCAATGTGCAAATGATCTTACCTCATTTATTTCTCACAACAACCTCATAAATTAGACATGTGAATCTCTGCTTTAAAAGTGAGAAGCACACACAGCTGACAGATTCCAGAATCTTAAGTCAAACCTTGGTTTGTCTAACTCCGATTTTCATGGTCTTACCCACTGGTTATACTACCTCCCTGTGAGTGATAATGAATTCTCTGAAGCAGGATTTTTACTTACGAGGATCTCATGAGATTCTTGATAGATAAAAACAAGCAGTCATAAAGGATGGCTGCTATAGTTTGGATACTTGACTTCCAAACATCATGCTGAAATGTGATCCCTAATGACGGAAGTGGAGCCTAAGAGGAAGTGTTTGAGATAAGGGGGAGTGTAATCCCAGTGGTAATGAATTAATCCTCGCTCTATCAGTTCCCATGAGAGCCTCGCACCTCTCTTTCCTCTCGCTTCCTCTGTCTCGCTTCCTCTGTCTTGCTATGTGATCTCCACATACCAGTTCCCCTTGCCTTTTACTATGAGTGGAAGCTCCCTGAGGTCCTCATCAGAAGCAGATGCTGGCACCATGCTTCTTGAACAGCCTGCAGAACAGTGAGCCAAATAAAACTCTTTTCTTCATAAATAACCTAGTCTCTGGTATTCTTTCACAGCAACACATGTGGAATAAGACAAGGGTAGAAATTGTCAGAGCCAGGAAAGGTCAAATTAAGGAGTATTGGACTTCAGAGGAGAAGGGTCATTATTCCACTCACATCTAATATTTACCAAGGATGATATGAACTTTTCTAAGCTCAAAATATAAAGAAATCTTCCCTGGTTTTCCCGCATTACCTGTTCATGCAAATTAAGCTTGATAATTAAAAACAAATACTAATTAAGTAACTAATATCAACTTGCGTCAAGATGTAAAGGCCAGGGAAGGGACCCCACAGCTAATAGGTCAGATAATGGAGACTTGAAGAAAGATATAAACAAAAATAATATTCCTTCGGCAAATGCATATTGAGCACCTACTATGCCCAGAAACTCTTCTAAGTTCTTAGTTGGGAAAGAAAAACAAATTCTTGCCCTCGTGAAGTTTTCATTCAAGTGGGAGAAGACCAAAAAAAAGATATAAATGAAAGGAAAAAAAACATGTAACATGAAAAATGCTGTCCAAAAAAAAATCAAGAGAGGGGGTAGAGAAGGAAGGGGTACAGAGTTAATTTTAAATAGAGTAATCTGACATTTGAGCAATGACTCAGAAGAGATTTGAAGTGTTTGCTTGATATGATCAGTTACTCTTCTAAAACATTAGGCACTCATGGAGTATCCAGCAGCCTTCCAAGGCATGACATTTTTGCCCTGCACTTTAAATGCAGTATCTTAAGCCAAATTACTCGCTCTAAGGAAGAAAATTATGAAAATAGTAAAAAGATATAGGGGCAAGAGAACTTGCTGAGTATTCAGACAATTACAAGTCACACAATGTTGGTTAATGACTGAGAGTGATATGAAGGCTAAAAAAGCTTTGGGTAGTAACTTGCACTTTATAGCCCTTGCTATAAAAATATAGACTTTTGTGTATTAAAGATGACAGATTTCATAGCCAAGAAATAAACCTCTAATTGGGGAAATTCAAGCTTCAGTTAGCAGACAGGTTATATATGTTTTTAGTCAGAGTTAAAACATATATAACATAGCCCTCTTGGAGAAGTTATGAAATCATAAAACAAAGTCAGAAGTCTTCTTCCGGGCAAGTAAACTGCACATAGGCCAGAAGTGAACATATGTCGGTGAAGACCTGCTCGCCCTCAGCTCAGTCTCAGCACTTACCTTGTCTCATTGGTCAGTTCACTTGGAACTGTCTACATCCCAGAGTAATTCTAACGAATCCCAACCCTTGTCCTCAATCCCACTATATGCACTTAAGAAATAGAGAAAAAGAATCCATTATCAAAAAATTGAAATAAGCCCCACAACGTGGGCTTGTCTTGAGACCGAAAGGGCAAAGAGGACCTTAGGGGTTCATTTAACGTTTACTTTCCTCTAGAAGATTTAGAGAGTTCTTGTATTCCTGATGCAACACCAGGAAAGTTCTTCTGAGGTTTTTGTCATTTCAGAGATGGTTTCCATGGGAACTTCATTTCAAATGCATCAGCATTTTATTTCAAATGAACCAAGGTTTCTTCAAATCATTTTCACTGTTGATTTGCTCCAATACAAGCACAGAGAAGCATAGAAATAAATATTCTTGCTTAATTTACTTTTGATGCAGAACTGTCTGTTTTTCCAAAACTTGAATCTCTGTATAATGGAGTGTTTATTCTATTTATTGCTAACATGAACTTTATTAAAATATATATGAGACATAGATTATGACGTACTTATGTGGTAAGCATATGTACAATATGCTTTGTATATATGGCACACGCATTAACCTTCAGGTGGTTTCTCGTAGACTGTCAAACAGCACATGGGTGACGACGAAGGCAGCAACCTTCACTCCACACAAAAGAAATGTCGGAATGAGACACAATTTCAACAAAAAGCATAAGAAAGCCTGTCCAGAGAGAAAAGATGGCAGCTGAAATGTCTGCATATGAAATGATTCCAGTTAGGATCTAAGGATGGGCACAAAATTAGACTTATCTACCAGAAGTCATATGGTTTGCAGGTATACTTAATGGTATATTGGTTTTCAATATGTATATGTGGCATATAAAGGATACCAAAAAAATCTTTGACTTCCTAAAGAGATTTACAGTCTAATAGAGTAATCTCCCATTCTGTCTCTTTATCCTCCTTACCTACTCAATGTTCCAAAATTCCCCGTGACCAGTTCTCAATCATTTGTGCCTCTTCTTTCTTAAATTTTTGGGCATCTCATCTCACGTCTTTGAAAACATTTTCAAAATTGTTAGTACCTAAATTTGCTCTTACTTTTCTGTTAATTCTCTGTCCTGTGTATATGGCCTCTCTAATAAAATGTTCCAAACCAGGCGCTGTGGCTCATGCCTGTAATCCCGGCACTTTGGGAGGCCTAGGTGGGTGGATCCCTGGTCAACATGGTGAAACCCCGTCTCTACTAAAAACACAAAAAATTAGTTGGGCATGGTGGCACGTGCCTGTAATCCCAGCTACTCAGGAGGCTGAGGCAGGAGAATTGCCTGAACCCAGGAGGCAGAGGTTGCGGTGAGCCGAGATCGCGCCATTGCACTCCAGCCTGGGTAACAAGAGCGAAACTCCATCTCAAAAAAAAAAAAAGTTTCAGTGTCATGCTCTGTTGTCACCCTGAAATCAGCAAGTACAAAGATTAACATGTCAATGTCACCTTTGTCCCCAAAAAAGTCATCTGCTTAACCTATCCAGTTTTATTAGAAAGGTAGTAGAGGGATCCACTTTTAGATCTATTAACCCAGAAAAATTATTAGTAACAATCCTTTTCACTATGAAATATATTCCACTTAGATCATAAATTGCATGATCTCTGTATGCGTTCAGAGCATAAACTTTAGGATCCAACCAGCTTCTACAATTACTTGCTCTGCCACTTACTAGCTGTGTGAACTTGAAAATATTTAACCTCTCCTGAGCTTCAAATTACTTATCTTAAAATGGGGATAATAATCATAAATGGTGCAGTGTCTAGTAATGTAAAATATGCAACACAGAAGGTACTAAAAAGTATTGGGTTGCTATGATTATATTCAAATCTATGCCCATGGATGAAAGGAGTATTCTAAATTGTGGTGGTATACAGGATCATCTAAAACAGAGAGATTAAGACAGAAAGATAAGTAAAGGCGGTTTCACAAGCAGTAGAAACAGTAAAGCAAAAACAGAAGCAAGTGATGACATCATAAAGGAACATGATTTAATATCTCTATGGTTTGGAGAAGGACAGTAAGGAAAAAACAGAAATGAAATCTGACTAAAATTTTAGGACCACAGAGCTCTGAGTAGGATGGCAGAAAATGAACAAATAAGGAATGAGGAAGATACGAAGCTAGAGTTCAGTCTACATGATAA